GGGGGGGGGGGGGGGGGGCTCTGGGCTTGACCAGTGCAAGGCGGTCAGCATGCTAATCTACTGGAGAGCCCACATGGACAGACACACCAAAGGGAGGCAGAAGAAACTGCTTCCAGCTGGAGCAAGAGCTGCACAAGCAGAGCTAAAGCAGTGCAAAAGCAAGCAGGGAAATAGAGTGCACCAGAGGGAACGGAGCCGAAGCCTCGACTCCATGTGTGTGCCGTGTGTGCGTTTGGTGTAAGCCCGTTTTTATGTTGTTAACCAATTCGTAAAAACGCCAGGCAAGGCAGGTCAGTGGCTTGGCTAAAAGCATTTCAGGCTACATCTGCATATGCAGGCAGACTCCGACACCGGCACAGGGGTCCATGCTGGACACGCAAAAGCGCAGCACAAATATTGACCAAATGCTAAAGCATTCACAAATGGTCAACAACAAAAGGAGCAGAAGGCAAAGCCGTACAGGGTTAGCTGTGTCTCCATGCACTTCATTTGGCGTGCAGGACACGGTGTTGGCTTGCTGTTTTGTTTGATTTGCAATTCTCGCTTGCTCTGGCACTCAGTTATATTAATTTTCGAATCGATGCCTTCGATTTATTACCACCACCACCACCACCACAATGAGTGGCAGCGAGTGTGGATCAAAACCGTAACGGAAACCGGAAACTGCCAACGGAAATGTACTTTGTCTTTTTGGCGGCGACGCTGTAGTTGGAAAATACTTGAAGGCAAAGTATGTCGAGCACAGACACTACCACAAAGCAGCCGCGACGAGGACTAAGGCTGCCGTCGGCCCATTTGGATAGACGCCAAGGCAGACCGAGCGGCAAGTCGCTCCGCGCCCCGGCTGCATTTATGCCTCTCTTAACAAGAATATTTGTCATTTGCTGTTAGCATTTTGGCTAAATGCGAAATTAAATGAAGTGGATTTACATATTTCGTTGCCTGGGCGGTCTGTACTTCTAAGTACACATGGCAGGGGGGGGCGGGAGGAGGGAGGAGGGGCTCTGTCTTGGGCATGTGTAGGAAAAGTCTTTTCCAGCGCTCGCTCCCTTTCTCGGGCTGTGTGTGTTTGCAGCTGCTGCGGAAAATAACTTTTTAATGAGATAAACTCGTTGATTTCTAGATTCTCAGGCGGCTGTGCTGTGGTTTCCCTTGGTGGCCACGAAACGGCGACTGTCGCGCTCCTCCCCGTCCCTCAGCGGATTACACAAAGTTGCAGAATTTTCTGTGACAAATTTATTTGTGTGCCGCACTCTCTCTCTCTCCTGTGCGTGTGTGTGTGTGTGCGGAGAAAACTTAATGAGCTAGCAGACTGTTAAAGTAGCTCAACAGCTGCTGTCGCCATTGCAGTTATTCCACTGCTTGACTCAGCCGCCGCTGTCTCGAAATTAAATTCAAATATTCTCCTCCTCCATCCTCCATTATAATTTGCGAAAAACTTTTGCCATTTTGGCAACTCAACATCGACAATTCGGGAATGTCCCCCTTTGGCCATGCATTAGAAATGTCCCAAAATGTCTTGTGTGTATTTCAAAATGAATGAATACTTGTGCAGCATGTGGGGTGTGTGGATAGGTAGCTAGCTATTGGAACCTGTAAATTTCACATAAGAAATACATATAGCAAAACTTTGACTTGAACCGAAGCTTCCAATTATTCATTAACAATTTCTAAACATTTGTTTTACATTTTTTCATTGGCTAGAAAGAGATCACAATTATTCGGCAGCTTCTGTCACACTTTTACCATTTATTTGAGCGATTTGTGAGGTTTTCAATCAATTTGTGTGCCACATTTCAAGCTCAGTGTTTGCAAGTATTTATAGCCCAACAACACACACTTCTTTGGACGTATTTCTCATGTCTTAAAATTAAAATTCACTCTCGGTTCTCGTTCATCGTTCCTTTCCGGCTTATATATTAAAAAATCTATTTAAAAATGCTAGCACTGCAGCAGCCGTGTCCAGGACAAAGCCAAAACATGGCATAATAAACTTTTTGATAACAAAATTTACTTGGCAGCATTTCGTTAATAAAGCAAAGACACCGCCCCAACCCAAACCAACCCGGCGGAGAGAGATCCTTCACGTTGTGCGTTATACTTTTAATAAGTTACGACGAGCTGACGACAAAAAGTTATCATTTATTAAAATTTGTGTCTTTCCAACGTAATTATAATAGTTTGATAAAACATTCTGCGCGACAAGCAATACCCAACCCCCCAGCCTCCCCCTGCTGTGTGCGCCATGACGGGAATATATATTTTTGCTTCTTTTTTTGATTTGGGCAAAAAGTTTCGCCTTTAATTTCCCTTTATCATGTTTCAAATTATTAAAAATTTATGCTTTCGACTGAAAGTAATTGAAAATGTTCAATAACTGCTGAACAGGACAAGGAGTTATGGTCGCCAGCTAGCTGGAGCTGCAGCTTGGCTCTGAAGCCAGACAAAGTTGCAGCCAAGTGGCAGCGAGCGCCGCAGTCATCGACAATGACGTTGGTGGCTCTTTGAGCAACGGAGTGGGGCGTAAAAACTGCAGGATTCTACACTAAAAGTTAAGTGCGTCATCGCTGGCTCTGGCGCTGACATCGTTGCTCACAATGCTCTCCACTGGTCGCTGGTGCTGGTCCACTGTCGGACATCGTTTTTAGCAATTTCCGCTGCCAGTGTTGTATATAATTATGCAGAGAGTGAAACTTATTAATGAATCCGGGACGTGCTTTTGTTCCAGTCCGGAAATCTTTGATGACACGCCCTGCGGCTGACATCTTGAGCTGCACGTCTTGTATGAATATCAATTAACAAACCAAAAGTCAAAGCCCACACGGCACAACAGGAAGAAGAGAAGCAAAAACCAATTGACAGACAGCACCTGGCCAAGGGGGCTTAGGGCCAATCAAACAGGTGAGGGGGAGGAGCGCCATCTCTCAATAATAAAAGCAAACAAATTAAAACAGACAGCAGGCGGCACACAAAAGGAAAAACGACAACCACAGGCATGGACAACTTTCAGCCATGAAACGACAAAAGTTCGAGCAGGTGCAGGCAAATTCTGAGGAGTGGAGTTCCTGCCGCTGGCCGTGAGATTCGCACGCAGTTTAGCTGACGACGCGTAAGTCCATAAAATCCACACTAATCTTACACGGGGGCGCGTTTCGACAAAATGCCAAACACTTTTTGTCAAATCATCCAAACACCTGATGTCTTGCTACGGCCCCAGGACCCCCGGGCAAAGGCCCAACAAGTGGGGAGAGCTGGAAGGGGGACGGCCATGTCGAGCGGGTTCATAAAAGCGCTTTGTCACTGGGCAATTTCAGCGCGGAAATAAATGAGCTGGTCCTGAGGTGCTCGTGGTGAGCGTCATAATAGATTCTTGGCCAAGTTGTTAAAATTTTCACAGCTTCCATAGTAACAAGATCTAGAGACAGGCAGAGAGAGAGAGAGAGCCAGAAGTAGTCCCTCTTCAAGTAAATAAGTCGAAAGAAAAACAATTAAGGCAGATAATAATAATATGAAGAAACGGCAAAAAAGAACTTCACTTTAGCTCATTTTCACAGTCAGAACTTTGCATTTAACTTTTGGCTGCTTGCTCGCTTTTTTTTCCCCCTGTTCGCTATCATTTACACACGATTACCAGGAGGCAGCCGAGCAACAGGATGCGAAAGGTAACAAAAGCAAAGAATAAGTTGGACAGACACGAAACTGGATAAGGGAAAAATATTTTAAAAACAATTTGTAATGTTATTTGATACGGGAATTGCTCCAATATTTGTGTAAATTATTTCTAGACCTGTGCAAATATTTAAAAAAATATTTAATGGGCGCTCCAAAGCAATTCTTTGGTACAGAAATGAATCGAAACAATTTTTAAATTATTCCTACACAAGAATGCACATGGCAAACAATTTTAAAATATTTATTCGGCGTTGATTAGGGTTTTGTAAAGTAATTCCCCTATTTCCTTACCACTCCGAAGCCACCTGTGAATGATATTCCCAGCTGTCGCTCGCCCAAGCCCAAGCCCAAGCCCAAGCCCAAGCCCAAGTGGTGGCTTTTACTTAATTTCCTTGCTCCCAGTGCGAGCCTCCCAACAGCAAAAAAGGAGAAGAAAAAAGAAAATATCGTTGGCAAGTGAACAATTCGAATACCTACGCAAATGGGGAAAGCCCGCATGGCCAGCAAGGATGTTGTTGATGAACAATTTCGATTCAGTTTCCCCAAAAGCCCAGGCCCACGCTGGATTGCCTAATTGCTGGAGAATTTTGGACCCCCCCCCCCCCCCCCCCCGCTAATAGAAATTTAATGGAAATGAACACGTGCGGCACAATTTTTATGTTTGCCGCCTAAGTATGCTGTTGAAAAATTCATTTTAGAAGATGGCCACTTGACAGCCTGAGTTGATCGGCAACCGATGAGCCCACAGCCTCCCCTCCAGTAAGAGCAATAAATACAAATACAACTGGTGGTGGGCAGGGTGCCAAAAACTTTCACCACATTTCCACAGCAAAAGCATTTATTACGCAGAAAGTCTATTCAATTATTCAGGCGCGGCATCCACTGCATCCTTAAAGGAGGATGCTAAATAATGTACAATTGCCAGGGTGCTCGGTGCTCGGTGCTCGTTGCTCGTTGCTCGGTGGTGGCTGCTGCAACTGCATTATATGAAAATGCATGTCCTTTTTCTTGCTGGAAGCAAGGAAGGATGCCAGCTGACGTGCGTCCAAGAAGCGCGACATTCGCGCCCTTGTTTTGGCAAATGGCAAAGTTTTATTTCTGCGCTGCACTCAAATGAAAAATAAATATGACAGGAGATGGGAGGAGCCAGCAGACTGAGACTGAGACTGAGACTGAGGCGCAGCATGGAACAAAGACCCTTGCATATTAAATGATTTTAAATAGTGAAGACAATGCAGCTGCTCCTGGCTCCTGGCTCCTGGCTCCTTCTGCTTGAGAGCTGTGGCCACGCAATGCGCTCCTTCTGCGTCAGCACCGCATTAGGTTTATAAATTAGAAATGATGGGACCCTGCCCTCACCTCCCCCAAAGGCACTGCTCTAGCACGGATGAGCATCCTCGACTTTGGTATACCAATTAGGGTGGAGACTTCGAGCTGTCAAACCCCAATGGGACAGAGCCGGCAACTTGCTTAGTTTCTGTTTCTGCTTTAAATGGAGGACAGTCCTATGGTTAGCGTAATTATAACTGAAGTTTAGTGGTGCTTCTGCTCCACGGTAGACTGTCTAGGACCTTGGCAGTCCTTTAAAATCCACTCAATACAGACGCTCGTGTGCAAACCACATACCTTGTTGGAGGTGGGAGGTCGCCTCATATCCATGCCCTAATTAGCCGCAAAACAGCGCTGAGAGTAGTTCTAGTCAATTCACGACAATGCCCACAAATCGCAGGGTTACCAAATCCATTTGACCTTGCCCCATGCCACCCCCGTGCGGAAGGGGGCGTGTCTATTTGTCTGTGTGCTGCTGCATTAGCCCTCCCAGTTAACAGTCGAATAAAACGTCCACATTGACAATTGTTAATTAATTTGGCCACTCCGCAAGTCGAGCAAGCGAGCAAATGTTAACACGTGTCAAATGTCCGTTGCGGTCAAATTAAATTAGGCATAGACTTGAGGCAAGGAATACATAGATAGATGAGATGGACAGTTGTGCGCTCAAAATAGTTTCAAAATACTTAAATAGGCGATAAAAATCCAGGATTATTTCCTGCCAAATTGCCTTGGTTTGAGCACAAAATAAACACTTTAACTGCCAACCAACTCTGACCATAAATACCTTCCCAATTGACGCTTTTATTACATCGCTGCTCAGCTCATTGCCTACTCCTGGCCGTATTACCTTTATAATTGTAAACAAATCTCTTTAAGGGCCACAATGCTGCATAAATACCAGGACAAAGGGTATCACAATCCAATTCCTATCATTAAAACAGTCACTAACTGAGATAAGAAGCAAATACCGAAACCATTTATAAGCGTTAGAGCGACGACAAGCATAAATGGGCAACGATAATCACAGCTAAAAGTCATCAACATAATAAACCCAAGTTTTTTCTTTCCATTCCTTTCCTTTCATATGGCACAGTGCAGTGCCCGGTCTCGGACAATGGCAATCAAATGGTGGTTGGGAGCCAGCGAAGGGTCAGCATTGGTGCGGGATGGGAGCTGGCAGCAACATTTAAACATTTATGGCAACATATTTGATCACGTTTTCTCAATCATTGCCCTTACGACCCTAATCAAATTTCACCTGATGGCAGCAGCCAGAAATTTTACCAAAAACCATGAGCCAAACTGTGCACTGATTGCTGTTGTTGCTGCCCCAGAGCAACATTTCTTGTTGGTGGGGGAAGCGACAATGCGTTCGTGCGTGCTGAAGGGGGAGAGGAACGGGGTTCGTTTGGGGCTTGGGAAATATTTTGTTTTGATTACAAGTTGACGGCGGGCTGCTTTATTTTATTATGAATCTAATTCCTTATAATTCGTAACATATGCCACCGCCCACAGGCCAACCCAACCCACCCACTGGCTTTGAATTACAAATCAGGCCAGCCAGCAGGAAGGTCGCTTCTAGGAATATTTCAGTTAAGACATCGCTGATGACGTTTAAACGAGGACTGGCGCTTGATTTCCGCAGCGTCTTAGATTTGAACTTGGCTCTGCGTGGGAGTCTGTGGGTCTTGGCTCTGGCTCTGGGTCTGGGTCTGGGCTAGAGGAAGACATGCGCCAGTTGTGCTGGCCATTAGACTAATGCCAAGCGATTTGAGTTTTGCATTTGGCCTGTGGGGCCTGCGCTTGAAACTTGGTGACACTTTAAAGACCTTTCCCGGGCGGGGCACAGGAGAACTCTATCTGACTGTGGGCACATATGAATATTTCATGTCAAACACACGTCATTAGAGAGGCAGGGAAACGGGAGGGTGGGAGACGGGTGGGGCCGGCATCCAATCCATTCAGCTTGTGCACAGTTCTGTTTTCGGTTGCAGAGTCAGTCAGAGAGAGATTTCAATATTTCGCAGCGGACTCGAAGCGGCAGCCGAGAGCTGAGACAGCACAGGCCAGAGGCAAAGTGCATGTGCGGGGTGCGTGGTGCGGGGTGCGGGGTGCATGTGCAGGGGGGGGCGTGGCATATGTGTGCTAAACTTTGGTGGGGCATGTAATTTACCTCAAGCTCGAGCCACAGGCTCCGGTACGGGCTCCAATAGCTGCTCTGCTTGCTCTGCCTGCTGCTTGCTGGTGCTCACTGCTTGCTCACTGCTTGCTGATACTGCCTGCTGCACCTCTCTCTCCCTCTCTCTCTCCCTCTCTCTCTCGGAGTAAATGCGGCAGCTGACCTATTCCAGCAGTCAACCATAAATCCACACTGATGATGTACTTCATGCTATTGTGCTTTGGAATTATATCGCATATTTTTGGTTTCTATTGCACATTCCCTTCTGCCACAGATACACAGGCATCCATCCGTGTGTGTGTGTGTGTGTGTGGGTCGTGCGTGGGCATGTGCATAGTATCCGCTGGCACGCCATTTCATCATCATCAAACGACGGCAGGGTACAGCTACAACTGCGACCTGGAAAGACGGCGGCATCCGTTTTCCATCCCCAACGCCCGCACAATTTTCGTTGTCTGATGTTATGCATGGGAGCTAGAGCCGGAGCCAGGACAACACGGGACGAGTAAAATACTGAAGGACAGACTGCCTTTCGTGCTGGCTTTGGCGAAGGAATTTCGCTACTTGCATGTTGCAGCCGCATAACGAGTATCATGGCAGAGACTCCACACTCAAGCACCTGATCGCCTCTAATCACCCTGGTCGATGGCGCAGCACACACAAAAAATATGGAGTGGAGTGTGCAGCCAGCTCTCTGACCAATTGCACAGCACAAAACAGAAACAGAAACACAAACAGTACCAGTTCGAGCAGGAGCAGGAGTATAAATATTTTAATTGCTTTGGCTACCTCCACCTCTGCCCCGCTCTCTCAGTTCAAATGCAAATGCCGGAATCTATGCTCTATGGCTCGACAATTAGTGTGGCACGGGTGGCAGCTGGCAGCTGGCAGCAGGCCCATGGGGAAAAGACTGAGCAAAAATGAACACTCAAAGCATGCAGAAAATATGCGAAATATGTTTCTAACATATTTTACTTGACTAAAATCGATTGCAAGCGATTGCTTGGGCTGGCCATAATTCGGTAAAGAACTTAGGAATATTCGATTAAAAATGAAAGAGTAGAAACTCTTTCAGAATTAATAATTCCATTAAATTAAGAACTCGAACCAAGTTAGGACTCTCTTTTCCTGTGCCCCACACAGTGTCATCCATTAGTGGGGGGAATGGCTGGCAATTGTCGGACATTTGCAATTACGTTACGTTCCTTTTTCCCCCCTTGGTGTGCGGTGTGCAATTTTGTACAGTCGGTTTGCAGCAGCGATTTGTGTTTTATTTCCGCTGTGTAAATCGCCAGTTACAAATGCAAATGTAACTAAACCAATAATATTTGCAAGTGGAACGGGACGCGCGGGGGCTGAACAGCTGGGCCACGGTCACTGCGAGTGCCAGGGCTATTTGTTCAGCATGGCTGCGAGGGAGCGTGGAGCAGCAGCATGGCTATTTTATATATGACCATCCGGCAGTCAGTTGCATTTTTTATCAACACGAGAAATCTGGTGGGGCCTGGAGTGGGTGTCGCTCCACCCACCCAACACCCACACAAGAGTTAATTGCCGTGCAATTTTTGTATGCATAAATAACCGTACATTTGTTATACACATCATTTTGATTGCAGCAGCTAAATCATCAAATAGCAGAGGCAGAACAGCAGCAGCACCCAAAAACCAAATGCCCGTAAAAATGCGCCAAAATGACTTTAAATTTCTGTGGCAAAAAAAGATTCTGCCGTGTGCGAAAATTCGATTTAAATAAAATGAAATATTTAAACAGCCACATTTGTGAGTTGTCCAAATGAATGATTGCACACAAATATTTGCAGCTCCAACACGGATTGGGCTCTGGTGAAAATATGGTTAGCATTTTCCGGGGCAATTTTCATTAACGATTTAAAGTTGCTTGATGGATAGATAATGTACTTCCTGTACAGGTTTATGATTTCTCGCTTAATGAATAGAAAATGGGTATTGATTATGCGATGAATCATCGTTAGGCACACATAAATGATAACTTATTTATTTATATTCGTGGAGTATTTTTGGGAAGACATCAAGTACAGTCGTCGAGCACTTGAGCTATGCTGACATTTAATCTTATTGATTGATGACGGGACTGCCAGGCCGAAACCTCACCATTCCAGCAGCAGCTTCCACTTCGTGGCTACAGGCAGCGCATAGCAATCGCACTTAGAACTGTTTGCAATCCGAAGAAGTGGAGCTCCGCTACGAACTATGACGTACCCGTTACTCCACGACTGCTTGCTGTAGGGCTGGCCACACTGATATGCCCATCTGGCCACACGATTTCGCGGGGTGTGCAACGCGTTGACGGAATGCAGCACAGAAGCGGATATAGAGGGAGCAGGAGCAGGAGCAGCAGTGGCACTGGCAAGCAAGTCGAGCATCAAAAAACATACCACAAGCATAAAGACTTAACAGACACTGCCACACACACACGCACACACGTACACACGTACATGTACATTGTATGCATACCATGGGGCATGGGTATGGACTGGCAGCTGTGTAAAATTCATCTGTCATCGCGTGTGTAGCGCCAAAGCTTATGACGTTAATCCTTTAAATGCGCCAAATGCATGCAAAACTTTACCAACTGCATGTGTGAGTGTGTGTGTCTGTCTGCTATGTGTGTGTGTGTGTGTGTGTGTGTGTGTGGCGCGCGGCTTCAGCAGTCGTCAACAGCAACGACAGCGGCTGAAGCTTTAGCAAATTGTATGCCTTGCCATGTGGCATAGTCGCACCTCCCCCCCAACCCTTTGAAACGGCACGTTCAAGGTGTCAACGTTGTGTGTGTGCGAGAAGGTTTTTGTATCTGCGCGACAAAATCAACCAACCGAAAGCGTTCAATCATCGTTAGTTACCATATTCCGTTGCAAGCAGTGAGCCTGCCTCCTGCTTGCCTACTGCTTGGCACTGCTTCCTTTCTGTTGGTGCGCGGGGGTGTCGCCAGGTAAGCCGAATCGTAAAATAAAACGCACAAACACAGAGAGCACCAGAAATAGAAAAT